ATTTGAAGCTGTCCTCGTGGTGGAATTGTCGGATCGATTCGAGAGTCAGTCTTACCACTTTGACTCTCCGTCTTCCGGCGTTTGTCCATATTTGAACTGTGGAGAGGGGAGATTGGAATTCGTGCGGTCTGTGTCTCTGCGTTATGCTAAGAAAGAAATACGAAGCTGTGGGCCCAAGGCATCTCCGCGTGGTCGCTAAGGACAGTGCAGTAGCTAAGGAGGACGATATATTTAATACATACCAGTCCTCCGTGCCGCAAGGGTGGTCAGTTGATGGGAGTCCGTGGCTTCGTTGGACGCGGTTCATGGCCGCCAGTAAGACCAAGGTACGGAGGAAAGGCGGGAGTCTGCGAGAGTGTCAGCATTATTGACGTGTGCGTCTCTAAGAAGCGAACCCTAATCCGAAACATACAAACAGAGCTCAATGCTCCAGAGTCATTGGACGGAATCAAAGAGGAGCGAGTGGTGGTGTGCGAATGATAGAGGATCGGAGTTGGATGTATTATTGTGCATACTGCATGGAGTATGTAGAGGCTGCATTCCCAGGAAGAGGCCGGACCATGGAGCGGGCAAGGGCCAGGTTCACAACAGCTGTGGGTGCCAGGCCCTGTGGGTGCTCTACCTGTGTACCGTAGGGGGGGGGGGGCTTACAACCTACTAGTTCAGAGCCTAGGTCCCTAGGTGCCTAGAGCTAACTAACCTTAACTGCACCAAGTCATCCCAAAGCACCAAGAATCAGGCACCACAGGCATCAACCACCTGGGCCGGTAAGGCATAACGAACCACACACACCATACACCCACGCACCCAGCACCAAGCATCTGAACGCGTATCCCACTCCCTTTCGTGCGCCCTTAGTGCCCTCGACAGAATCGGGAGCTAACCAACTAGCCCACCTAACAGGAAACTCCCGCCCAGGGCTTGACTCCTGAAAAGTGCTTGGGCCTGTCCTGTGTGCCAATTGTCAATCGTCAACTTACTGGCCGCCAAACTGCGTTCGAACCTCTCCTTCCCTTTTATCATCTGTTTCCAATTCACCACCATCACCGTCGCCATCCATTCCCCCCCTTCTATATCCATTCATCGACACAATCTCTTTGTTATTGTCGTCGTCGTTATCACTGCCCCCTTCGTCTCCCCCTCCCCTTTGCGTTTACTTCCACCCGCGGCCGCTCTTCACCAGATACTTTGTACACGCGCCGCGGCTGCAAACCTTCGTTTCTTGAGCTGCTGGGTTTTGCCTCTGGAGCTTCCTGTCCCCTGCGAAGACAAGTTTCTTCCGGCCCTTCGCTTCTTCTTCGACGTTCGACACTTATCGTCACGCACATAATCCACCTTCGTTCAATTGCAGTTCAGTCTCGGGTCGATTCGTGACCATTGCACGCCCTGTCCGTCCAACAGGCCTCACCCACTTTTCTCGACCAGCTCACGCCCTCATCCTGTCATGTCGAGACGTGGTGCCACAATTTAGAAAGAAAATATATTCCTGGCCCAAGGTATGTACTGCCCTCCAAGCTTGTCTCTTGTCGAGTCCGCAAAACTGGAAATTGGCTCGATCAATAACATACTGACTGGAATGCCCGCAGTCGAATTTCTCCCGGAAAGAACTCTCCTTTATCCCGCCCCCAAAATTGAAACAGGATTACCGAAACACGACCTGGCCCTTACACACATCTTTTGCTGAAACATAGTCAAAGGAGAAGATGGCTGCTTTGGTCCAAACACTGCCTCCCCAAACAACGACGGTTACAATGTTGGGTCGCCCCTCGTCTTCGGGGGGCTATCCTTCACAGGGCTCACAAGGCCAGATGAGAAACCAGCCTAGCCGATATAACATGCCCGCCACTGGGTACAGAGGCATGCCAGCTAGTGGTCCCATTGCTCCTTATGCCTTCACGTCCACGCCGCAGTTGGCCACCACCAATGTCAACGCCAATCCCAATGCACGCCCCTTCGCTCTGAACACCGGGCGGTCGATTTCGTCCCCCAAAGCCCCTCAACCGGCTGCTTCTCCTTCCTCCCAACCTTCTTCTCCAAATGGTCTTCCACATGTCGATGCTGGAAATCGTCCTCTGTCATTAGGCCTGCCCCCTATGCCGTCTGGTTCCTTCATGGGTTCTCAATCGACAGTGGTTGCCCCTAAGCCATCACCGGATCGCTATCGAAGGAATGTGCGACGAAATGACGGAGAGAGTGGTCTCAATCGTGTCCCTGCAGGTTCCACCTTACCCTCAGGCTCTGGCATGGCTGCAGTCGGCTCCCTTTACAATCATCCCACTCAATCCAGTAGTACACCGTCCCTGCGTTCTCAGCACTCTTACCGGAGCTCATCGCAAGGATACAACCTTCAGCCCAAGACATCTAGCGCTGATGATCTCCAACTGGTTCGGCCTCAGCCTACGGAGCTGGCTGCAAGGTATCGGAGACGCAGTTTTGGCAGCATCGAAACAGCAGGTCTAAATCATTCGTCGGATAGTCAAGAAACTGTCTCTCCTCATCCGAAGGCATTCCTTGATTCATCACCAGTTCAAGGAGATATCTTGCCGCCACCTCAGCGACCCATTCATCACAGACACAACTCGAGTGCTGACAGTGTCGCGTCCTCGAAATCTGCCAGATCTTCCCAACCCGAATCAGTAAGTATTATCTTGTGATATGTTGTCAGAATTTCCCACTCACAATCCAACAGTCAAGAAATGAACAGCCTCCCACGGCCACGACTACTGCCCCATTTCCTTCACCCAAACAGGAACCGAGACTGACTGCACCCCCTCGTCTTGGAGATTCCAGTATTCGGCACCCGTCTCCCTTATCACGGCCAGTCAATATTCTCCCTGATAACACAGATGAGGACCGCCCAGCGGCATCAGGCTCGACTCCCTCTCAGACACCCTCTGCACCAAGCTCAGCTGCTGAGCAACTCGTAACGGTGAGCAAGAAGGAGGTAAAAAAGTCCAAATCAAAATTGCGGCGGGCATTTTCTTTCGGGAGCGCAGCAGAACTTAGAAAGGCTACTGCGCAACACAACTTGGAGAAGAGTGTGGCCAACAAGCAGACGATATCCAAGAGGAATTCAAAATATGAGGATGAGCTGGAGCCCGAGCAAGCGCGTATTGCTGAAAAGCAGGAGGCTGCAGGATTGGGTGAAAGCATTTACTCGGGCCAGGGCACCTTCTTTACCGGCTCGACCGACAATTTGTCCATTTCTTCGACAGCTTCTTCGGCCTCAGTTATGCTCCGTAAAATGGGCAAGGGGGTCAAGAAGGGAACTCGATCTCTTGTCGGCTTGTTCCGGCCGAAGTCAGTAGTTGGTGTGCCCGCTCCCGATATGCCTGTGAACTCGGCAAGTATGGCACAGGTGTCAATGGTCACTGTCGAAGCAGAAAGAGAGAACGTCAATGTCAATGTCAATCCTCACGAGCAAGTGGGAGGTGGTACAGGCGTCCCCAAACTGGAGCGTAATTCCATCGACACCAAACTTTCCTTCGAAAGCGGCACCGTATCCAGCGATACACGATCACGGCGAAGCATTGTCGGTGGTGAGAGGGAGCGTGCTGAGGTTCTTGCCGCTGTGAAGAAAGGCATCCTTAAGCGAACCGATTCGAATCAACCGTCGCCAAAAGTCAAACCATACGACTTCAAAGCTCCTGATTTCAACTTGCCTCAAATTCCTCACATTAACGATTCGCCCAAATCGAGCGCTCCTAGTACACCTGCCGATGAACCACCTCGATCTGGTCATCGCCGAACCGACTCAATCACCATTGAAAGCAACGATCACGACGATTATTTTACTTCCATGACTAGACTTGGCAGTTTAGACTCGAAAAATACACCGGTCACCCCTCAGGGTCTCATTCGAAACATTTCATTCAGCCCACGAATTCAGTTCTACGATACTTGGCCCAGTGGAGAGTACGATCGGCGGGGTGAGATAGCAACTTGCAATCGATTGACTCCGATGCTAGCTCAGCAAATCAAAGAGGAGCTCAATACCTTCAAGATGGTACGTGACATGGCCTGCTTTGCACTGGATAATGCTAACTCATCACAGGAAATGGAGGTTCACGAGTCATCCAAAGTCTACACCCATTTCTTTTAGTGCGGATGATCATCAATGGACAATCCTAGAAATGTCACTCTGTTCACTGAGGTTACGTTTGAGCAAGAAGTGATCACTGGCATGCGAGTCACCAAGAATACTCACGATTTCTACGACCCTTGCAGTACATTTGCAGCAAAGCATTGTTTTCGTCGCTAGATAACGGCGCGAAACTGTTCGTTGGGGCCTATTCTCCACCACGGGCCCTGTGTACATTTAAGAAAAGCACGTTCGTGTTGCATTTCATTCCGATCATGAAATTAGGTTGAAAGTAAGGTGTCCGGCGCAAGGCAACAATCACCCAAGGATGGTTATTAAGGTGGCATCAAGAAAGAATACATGGTGATCTTGGTTTTCAGTCTGGAGAAAGGAGGAAATTTCATCATTGGACCTTTCAGCCTACCCTTTTTCTAATCGAGGATTACTTGGTTTGGGAACTTGACTGAGCTTTGTCATTGGAGTGATGGGCATCACAGATTGGTTCCTATTGGAACCGGCTTGGATGTTATTTAGCCTAGTACAAGTAGGAGACCAGCTGATCACTGGGTGTCTCTCATGCCCCTTGGTTTGAGGTCAGAGGGAGAATGAGAGGACATACAGCTCTTTCTCCAAGGTGGAGGAAACTAATTGGTTTTTTGGTCTCCTGAAAACATTTGACCTCTCAACTTTCAAAACCTGCTCGAGGCACCATCCGTATTCTCGCAAGGCTGAGCCTTTCAGAAGCAAGGATGAACACTGTACCGAGAGAGAAAGGTTAGCCGTAATGGCTAGTGTAATTCCGGTAAGGGTTTGATCACGTGTAAGGCTCACTCTAGTATGCCGCCTTTAAATACCTGCTCGCGAGTCTCCGGTCGTTCACCTTGTTGCACCTTATTCCTGTTATATTTACACCAATTCTTCAGGTGTACCAGGTCGGCTCGGGCACCTCATCTAACAGGTAAAAGGTCCCTAGCTCGCGTTCCTTATATGCCACCGGGTCGTGCAACGTGTGTGTCCTCACGTCCCTCCAAAACCGATCCAGTCCAACCTTTCTCGCCGTGGAGCTCGCCCCCGTCACCTCAAACACTCCGCTTGTGACCCGGAGGCTGGTCTCGGTGGCCACGATTTTGATGCTCGCCACCCATTCTGCCGACTCTCCCCGCCGCCGTGCGCTCACATCTCTCTTCTCGCCGTGGTCAGCGTACACATCCCTGATTTTCTCGCCTGCAAGATCCGCCAGTGCCTCGGCCGCCCTCAGATGAGCGTGGAAATTGCCATACCGCGCCAAAATGTAGTGTTCATCTGTTGCCTTCGCTTTGTTGTCCCCGCCGTAGGGCCACGCGCGGGTTTTCGAGCTGGTCCATTTCTTGGCCTCCTCGAGCGCCCCCAGACCGATGCCCACGTAGAAATTGGAGAAGACCAGCTGGATGGTCGGTAACAATAGGGACGCAAAAGGGATCCTCAAAACCTCGGCGATGGGCCTCTTGGTCTTGCTGTCCCAACCAAATGCATTGGTCCACGGAACACGCACGTTCTCGATCTTGACGCTCCCGGACTCGGTCAGCCTCATGCCGATGTTGTCCCAATCACGGCCGAATCGGATCCCTGGCTGCTTTGTAGGTACAATTGTGAAGATGTGGTCTTCGGTACCATCCAACACGCCCTCGAGGATCGTGGCGTCAGATACGACGCCGCCAGTGTTGAAAGACTTGAAACCATTAAACACGATCTCCTCACCGTCGCTAGTGATCTTAAGGTCGGCGTTCCGCGGGTTCACGGCACCGCCCACAAACCAATCATTGTCCAGGATCAGCTTCTGCACGCGGTGTTTCTGCTCATCGGTGCCGACGACGTTGGCCGTGGTAGACCACAGCAGATGGTAGCCCAGCAGCATGCCGATGGAGCCATCGCCCTTTGCGACTTCTCGGATTGCCTTGTAAGCGATCGCCCAATCCTGACCGGCCCCACCGTAGTCCTTGGGCCCCAAGAGCTTGGTTAAACCTGAAGCCTTGAGAAGCTGAATCTCAGTGAATGGGGACTTGTTCTGAATGTCACGCCGTGGAGCATCCGCGGCGAGGATCTGAGCGACATCCTTTGCACGTGCGATCCACTCTTCTGCAGTATTGGGAAGTCCTGGTTTGGAAAACTTGAAAGGCTGGTCGAGACCTATGGCGGTCTCGGGAGTTTCAATTGAGCCCATGATCACCGACAAGAGATCCTCACTTATGAAGTCGAAAGCGTTTTGGCAGAGGACGCTAAGAACGACCGCCTTCGAGATTTTGACCGCCTAGAAATGGACAAAGTCGAGCAGGTAGCGCTTGAGAGGGTCGCTTTATATGAAAAGGGGAGATGCCGTGTTGTTGGACCCCATGTCGAATATCTCGACTCATTGCGAGAAAATATCCACTCGGTTCAAGCCAATGGAAATATTCGGGCGAGAGGACCGCGTTTTCTTGTTATTCGCGTCTTCAACTGACGTGCTCGGATGGCTTGAGCACGAATTCGGAGAACTATTTGCACATGATTTTGAGACGCGGAAATGTCCCGGAACGAAACGTTGAGTTCCAGGCGGTTAGCAACTCGGAAGCCCTGCTAATCATAACAAAGCTGGTGTGAGAGTGAGTCAAGATGTCAGAGAAAAGGAGGCTTGCATGTCAGGGACACACCGTCGACTCGTGGCATTGTAAGAGAACATGCTATATAGCATCCATAACAAAGTACCGATTACTCACGGACGGTAGGTATCGCTCATGCTCGGACACTGCCCCCAACGAGCCCACGTGTCTAGCTCCAAAGAGTCAAAACAGCTTAGACCACTGGAGCAGGAGCCAAGAGAAATCCTCCGTCAGAGCGGTCTGGTAGAGGACCTCATTCCATGGCAACGCACAAGCAAGCAACCACCCTTTCGATTTGAAGGACCCGGACCGGGACATTCATAAGAGCAACAAGTAATGCTTTCTTCATTTATCAAAACTCTGGTACGCATGCGATGTTCCGTCGAACGTCGCATGCTGGGTGGTTGGGTGGACTGGTACCAGAGAATGCGAGAAACATTGGCGAAGAACGGCCATCTCGGATTCATCTGCTTCGGGGGTCCTCCTGTTCACTTTCAAATTGTAAGCACAATCCATGCTCTTTCAATCCCCCGTCGGCAGCTGCCTGAACTTCGCATTTTGGGAAGCAGCTCCATAAGAGATTCGTGGAGAAATACCAATGGCTGGACGAGCCTATGTTCCAAGAGCTGTTTGCAGTCACTCAGGCGCTCTCGGGCCCTGCGAGCACGAAGATGCTATACTGCATTAACCTCAACCGGAATGGTTTCATATCCGCGCTTTCGGCTTTCTTGCTGTGGTCGTAGGTTTCCCCTTTCTTCCCAGATACAATTACTGCTAATATGAAGAACTTGGTACGCAGACTTCCCGGTGCTATCGGAATGTACACCCTATCGCTTGGTATATCCAGCATTGGTGACGTACTTCCTGCCCCAGTCTATGCCCTTCTCTCTGGTCTTAATGCTGCTACTGTGGGCGTGATTGCACTTGCCGCAGTGCAGCTATCACAGAAGGCCATAACGGATAAGATCACGAGGATGCTGGTATTTTTGGGAGCCACAGCGGGAATGCTTTACAACGCACTATGGTTTTTCCCTGTACTGATCTTCCTAGCTGGCCCTGTGACAATCATCTGGGACTTTCGGTGGCTGCATGCTTTGATCAAGAAGGTTTCAGGAACCGTGCAAAGGATGAGACGGAGACACGAACACGACGAAGTTGAGATGAATACCGCAGACCACTCACCGGCGAACCAGTGTAAGTCATGTGGAGCTGTACCGTACTGCCCAGTTCAGCACACAGGCTGACACTATACCACAAGCTCGTGGGGAAAACCAAGAGAATCCCTTTTCCGGACAAGTGACTGGGGAGTCAGACCTTTCCACACCATTCAGCGATGTTCGGCGCGTCTCAGATGGTAGGCAAGATCCAAGAGTCATTCCTGCGGGCAGAGAATTGAATGTTTCTTGGAAATTTGGTACCATTCTTATAGCAGCTTTTTTCGCGACGTTCACTATCGTCATGGTGCTGCGAGGAGTACTAAGACATCGGCCACTCCTATTCAATCTTTTTTCCAACATGTACCTTGCGGGAACTATTATATTTGGTGGGGGCCCTGTGGTCATTCCACTTCTTCGCCAGTGAGTGTGATGAAGGTTTATAGTTTCGAACAGAGCTGACAGTTTTGGCACAACTTAGGTACATTGTGACGGAAGGCTGGGTTTCATCCCGGGATTTTCTCTTGGGATTGGCTATTATACAGTCTTTCCCGGGACCCAACTTCAACTGTAGGTCCCAACCCTGCACTCCTTACATCTCCATTGTGAAACTGACGAGCCATTTTGGTGATTCCTATGGACAGTTGCCGTGTATTTAGGCTCACTGACCGCTATCAACGCGTCGCTTCCTAGTGCGGCAGGCGCTCTTGTCGCCTTCGTCGGCATCTTCGCGCCCGGGTTAATCCTTGTGCACGGCACCATGGGGCTTTGGAGGGCACTTCGCACTCGCCGATGGGTCAAGGCCGGCTTGCGCGGTGTAAACGCTGCCGCGGTTGGGTTAATATATACTGCCATCTACAGGCTTTGGGAAATCGGGTATATAGACGAAGAATTTACAAGCGGCTCGAGCTTAGGACGAGATCCCTGGTGGGTGGTCGTGACGGCAACGAGCTATGTCGGTGGATGCTGGTTTGGAGTGCCTGTTCCGCTGGCGATACTGCTTGGGGGCGTCATGGGGCTCATTCGGTATGGCGTTACCTCAGGCTAGCGTGTGGTCAAGTACCACAACGTATCCGTGAAGCTGTTCCGCAAATCTCCAGAAGTCGGGAAGAGCCTTGTCGCTGTCCTCTTCTTGTCGCCTTTCCATTGTCCAACCAATCAGCAATCAGTCTCGCCATAACGAGGATTGGGCCTTGTCTTGCAGCATCGCGAATTCTCTTGGCCGCCAAATTCTGACCTAAGGTCCACTCTCAACTTTGCTCCAACACCAATGGCGAGTCACCCTGACGACGCAATTTGGACAATATATGCCATCATCTCCACGGCCATAGACTGCTCCACTCACTCTCGTTGAGAAGTCATTTGAAACCTACGGTCTCACGATGTTCTCTGTCAGTCCAGCTCGTGTGGCCTCCCCTGTTCAGTTATGCCATTGGCACATTGCCTTCAATCTATCACGGGATTGTACCGTTGTTTGCTTGTCAAGTGGTGGATTTCAAATGGTATTTTCCTTTTGTCCGTCCCATCGCTATGTTTGAAAGCCAGAGTCTTGACTCGAGAAAGTTTTCAGAGAAACGGGGTAGAGACGAGTCCTGCTGAATATCGACAATTCTTCCTGTTGAGCCAGGGCGAACACTTCTTGCTGACTTTCATGCCCAAGACGGCACAAGCAAAGGGATATCAAAGGCTGAAGAGAGGATCTGATATCAGTATCGAGAACTGGTTGACCAGCATCTACTCAGCAAGGCCGACATAATGGGTTCGAACCTCATCGTTCCCGCCGGCCACGCTGATGGCAACTCAGCGCCAGATCGGATCAAGTTTGCGTGAGTCCGCTTTCTTCTTTGTTGAGGCCCTTCTAAGCTTACAATCAGCTATTGGGTTCCGAATGTGTCGGGCGGACTTGTGATATCCAAGATTCCGCAGCGCACTAAATGGGACCTCGAGTCCAATGTCAAGTATGCCCAAACAGCAGAGAATGTAGGCTTCGAATATGCGCTCTCACAGATCCGGTTTATGGCTGGCTACGGCGCCGAGTACCAGCATGAGCCTGTCTCCTTCTCTCAAGCGCTGCTTCATCAAACCAAAAAGCTCAATCTCATCGCGGCACTCCTCCCTGGTCCGTGGAATCCTGCGGTTGCAGCCAAGCAGATCGCCAGCATCGACCATTATTCTAATGGCAGGGTGGCAGTCAATATTGTTTCAGGATGGTTCAAAGCCGAGTTTACCAGCATCGGCCAATGGTGGCTCGACCATGCAGAGCGTTATCGACGATCGAGAGAGTTTATCACTTGTCTTAAGGGGATTTGGACACAAGACAAGTTCACTTTCCAAGGTGACTTCTACCAGTTCCATGACTATACGCTTCAGCCCAAACCTCTGAAGTGGGAAGGGAGAGATCACCCCGAGATTTTCCAAGGGGGAAATTCGATTGATGCGAGGGAGAACGCCGCAACAGTGTCTTCGTACTATTTCATGAACGGCAACAGTGAGATTTGGCCCCCCCCCCCTCCAACAATGTCTCCAAACAGAATTTGCTGACAGTGACGAATTCGTAGCCCTCGAAGGCTTCCAGACGCAGATCGCCGACGTCAGGGAGCGCGCTCGCCGTGAAGGCCGGGAAGATCAAGTCAAATTCGCGGTCAACGGATTCGCCATAGCGCGTGAGACGGAAGAGGAGGCAATCCGCGTCCTCCAGGAGATTCAAGGCAAGGCGAATAAAGAAGCCGTCGAGGCATTCGGCGACCAAGTTAAGAACGCAGGGGCATCGACCGCTAACAAGACCGGTATGTGGGCGAATAGCAAGTTTGACGACCTGGTGCAATACAATGACGGCTTCAAAACAAAGCTCATCGGAACGCCCCAGCAGATTGCCAATCGCATCCTGCTCCTGAAGAGTCTGGGTGTTAGTATACTGCTGGTAGCATTTCTCCACTACGACGAGGAGATTGAGCAGTTTGGAAAGGAGGTTATTCCTTTGGTCCGGAAACTGGAGGCCGAAGGTAGAGGGAAAGATGCTGAGTACGAGATCAAGTTGACAGGCGATGTGTACAAAGCTAGGCAGCCTGAAAAGGCCAAGAGCTCGTAGAATTGTCGACGGCCTCGTCTATTCCCCTTGGGAGGAGCACGATGCAGTCCTCTAGATACCTAGAGATAAAAATGGCTATGCACATACTGCGTGGTATAACTTTTACTAGTGTACTCGCTTTATTCAATGGAAGACCAGTCCCAGCCTTGCGAAAATACGTCGCAAGGCTGAGGTTTGAATAGGGCGGCATCACCATGGTTCTTAACGGGGTAAGACGCCGGGCTTGGCATTTGGAAGCAGCGGAGTGGGAGGAGTGAAGAGTGGGCTGCGACGTCAGCGAACGAATCCACCCTTGGTGCTCTAGCACCCTCTGTTCATCTGCTCTCCGTATTGTGTAGGGACCGAAGAACCAACCTCGTATCCTTGGCTTGCCCAACTCTCGAGTCGTTCGATCGATAACGAGACTGCTTCTTCTGGCGAAGCTCGTTTCGTCACCCTTCCCTTCCTGATCCTCCTGCTTGAACGCACACGATCTCCGCCTGCGAACCTACCCAAGATGAGTGGCTTTAGGTCCGTCATGAAGGATGGATGGCATCCTAAGGGCCGGGATGGCGGCAAGGAGTCATGGAGGGGCGATTTCAAGGGGATAAACCAAGTGGTCAGTCATTGAACCCCTGGCACTATGCTGAAGTGGCGGAAGGTGCTGAAAAATGGAACAGGCTGGATGGATGGGAAAAGGCAGAGACCCCAACAAGAAAGACGGCATTGAGCATGTCTCCCGGCCTCTTTCGACGCTCAAAGATCCAGCGTCGTTTGGGCTGCCTCCCAAAAACGTCAACTATCACGGTGGTGCTGCGCTGCCCAACGAGATAACGCCACAGACTGGGGGATGGGGCGCTCCCTTGACTCAAGAGCAGATCTCTAGCGCAAATGAAGCTGTCAAGGCTTCCGAGCAAGAGATCGAAGAAGAGAATAAACGTGCAGGCCCCCCTTTACCATATCGGGCGGATCGAACTGGGCTGAAGACGGATCACCTACCACCCCCTCCTATTCATCGTGACTTGAATCGATCACCTGAAGTTGCGGAAACAGGGCTGGCTAAACCAAAACCAGGTCTACCTCCAAGACTGCCCTCCCGACAGAATACGGGGAGTACATCCACTCCTCCGTCTGTCGCCAATTCCCCTCTCCCAACAACCGCTCCTCCAGCTTACGAATCCATTCCTGTCGCTGCACCTAGCTCACAACCAAGCGCGAGTTACGGAATCAACCAAGCTGCCATCAACAGGTTAGGGAATGCAGGCGTTTCAGTCCCAGCGCTGGGCATCGGCTCTGATCAGAGTTCAAATCCCTGGCGTAACGAGCAAAGCCAGCCAAATTTGCCAAAGAGCCCGCCCTCAATGTTTCAAACACCTGTACACCAGCTATCGGAGCTTCAAGCCCGCTTTGCCCGCATGAGCTCGAACTCCAGTACCGGGCAACAACAAAACACCACTCCTCCATTTGTCACCCCCGCTCAATCCCCTTCGCCAGTCATTGCGAACACACCCACCCAACAAGCCTATGCGACACAGCCGCAACCACAAAGCTCAGCACAAGGAACTACATGGGCTGAAAAGCAAGCTGCCATGCGTACTGCTCAGAGCGCCTACAAGGATCCTGCCTCCGTTTCCGCCGCTGATGCTAGCTCGGCTGTCCGCACGGCCAACTCGTTCCGAGAACGACACCAAGACAGCATCAACGCCGCCGGGGCTAAAGCGAACCAGTGGAACAAGAAATATAATGTGACAGGCCGCCTCAACTCTTTCCTCGAGAAACACAGTTCCTCTGACGACCCCCAACCGCCAAATGGTGCCAATGCAGGCGGAACTGCACCAATGCAACCGTCTTTACAAAACCAGACTGCCGAGATGGCGGCCTCGATATCCCGCAAGCCCCCGCCACCTCCACCACCGAAGAAGCCAGCGACTATGCATGGTAGTGTTGGTTCAACGGGAGTTGCCCCGCCGCCCGTGCCGCTGGGGACGAAGCCGAGTTATTCATGATTTGGGGTCGGGGCGAGGTACTTGGGTTATACGTTGAAGCGCGTAGACTTTATAGCAGCAGAGATACAGCAGGTACATATGTAGTAGCAGAGTAATATGCACTTCCCCGAGCGGCCAGGTGTGTGAATTAGACGCTTTGTTCAGCAATACCGTTGTAGCCATGGCTTTAGTCTCTAGTGGCTGTGAGTGACCGCCAGACCTATCCACCGCACGTGAGTGGTACGTATTACGTCGATAACACGCCGTTCGCCCGACGGAGGACTGTAATGCTCTACTCTCCTCTGGGCTGAAAATCGTCGCCTCCGTTGTTGTGCGACTGACGGGCACCGTCAGTGCGCCCGCCTATCTAAAGCCAGCAAATATTATATGTGCGCAAGAGGACACAAGGACACGCACAGAGGTGATACAGATGTCTCGACGGTGCTCATGAAGCCTACCCAATGTGACTGACTACCTTGACTACATATGTCTTGCGCCGGCACACCGGACGGACGAGGTGATCACCAGGCCTCTGGAGCCTGGATCGGCTGGTTGACCCGTCAGATTCATGTGAACCACTCGAATGTGAGAAGATGGAGTGCGGACGGCATATGGATGGACATGCATTGTTGGTGTTTGAGCGCGAAACTGCGTGAAAATCCAGTCCGATCCAGTCCAATCCGCCCTTTGGGGGGAAGCGGTCCCAAGGAACACCGACTGCTACGGAGTACCTCGCAGCCAGCGGAGGCGCTGGGAACTCAATTGTCAGTCAGCTCCACCGTATCACGATGCTTGCTTCCCATTCTAGAACACGACACCCTTGACCTGTGCGTTCTTGGAGATGTTGATGTCGCGGATCATCAGGACGAAGAAGAGAGCCAGGCCCATGACGCTGGTCCCGGCGATCAACATCCTGCGTTGGGCGATTCCGTATGCCTCCATGATGGCCTCGCGCGCGGGACTGCCCATCGGATAGCTCAGTTGCACGGTCAAGTCGCCGTAGATGGTCTCCCACTCGGGCTTGAGGTTTTCGGGCAGGAGTCTTTGGAGCGCGCTGGGTAGAGAATGCGTCCAGATGGCGCCGCAGATGCTGTTCCCGACGGCGCCGCCCATGTACCCGAACAGGCCGAGCATGGCCAGCACGGCGGCGATCTGGCCGTGCTCCGCGGCCGCCATGACGGCGACTTGTTGGCACAGGATCATGGTGCTGCCCGCGAAGGCGATGAGGATCTGACACATGATGATATACCCGATGTTGGTGTGCGGGCGGCGGAAGTGGATCATCAGGCCCACGCCGAGCATGTACAGCGGGACGGCGCACAGCAAAAGCCACTTGAAGCGGCCCGTGACGCGCATGAGGAAGCCCACGAAGAGCAACCACAGGCCGGAGATGATGTCGAAGGTACTGCTCACATAGCCCGCTTGCGCAATCGTCAGGTTGTTGACGACCTGCAGGAAAGAGCTGAAGTAGCTGCCCCAGCAGTAATACGCGATCTGGTACACGGCGTCGAGGAGGAGAGCGCCGAGAATGGTTCGCGAGACGAGCAGTTGGTAGGGAGTGAAAGGCTTCGGTGCGAGGTATCGCTCGAAGACGACGAATGCAAGCAGCAGCACAAAGCCCACGACTAGCATTGCGATGATGGAGCCGGATTCCCAGTCATCCGCTGTCGATTGGGCGAGGGAGAAGGGCAGGAGGAAGAGAACCAGCCCCGTTGCGAGGAGAATGACACCAAAAGCTGCAGTATTGTTGGTTGACAAGTCAGGCTTCTTTCTTCCCAGGGAAGTTTTTTTTGGGCAAAATCGCTTACCGTCAAATTCAATGATATAGAACCAGATACTCTGAAACAATGTTCGACCGCTCTTGGGCCTGTCAAGCAATCCCTGCTTCTTCGCTTTGCGCAAGTTATACTGCATGACAAAGTACAACGGCGCAGCCACAAAAGGGGTGACGATTGCAAAGGTCCCAAATGCCCAACGCCAGTTGATATCTTCGTAGAAGCCCTCTGAGGCACTGGGGCCGGCAAACGCGGTGACCATGTATGGAGAAGAGGTGAACGCGAAAGCGAGGCCCCGATTCTTCAACTTGCTGGTGTCCGCTGTCATGACATCCACCGAGTAGATCATGCCGGTGAATCCGATGCTAGTAAAGACCTACATAACCATTTTAGTGGTCTGACATTACCGAAATCTAGGATCCTCTTGACGGGTAGCATACCTGGGCTGCGCAGAATGTTTGAATGTTTGTACAAGCGGCTTGCAGGATGAGGCCCAGTGTGCCTAGGCTGACCATGAACAGGAACGCCTCTGGCCGACCCCAAATATCCAGCATTTTGGCAATCGGCAGATAGGCAGCCCCCGTCATCACGCTAGAGACGATGTAGATGACTGGGATGAGGGAGTGGTATTCGAATCCACTGGTCACGTATGGTGTAAGATTGGCCGTGATGGAAAACTGAAAGGCGTTGACGAAGTACAGCAGATAGAAGCTATTCAGACGAGTTAGCAAGATGGTATGTAGGGCATTGTCGATGATAGCTCGATGATGAGGACGTACCATATGTAGGTGATGATGAGGGATGTCTTACTCCATGCCAGCGTGATAGCTTCAACTCTTCTCACGCCTTCCTGAGCATCTTGGGCTGGAAGCTCAGGTTGAACTTCGTCGCTCCCATTGCTACTACTGATAGGATCGTGCGCGTGCGTCGCGGTATTCTTGTCGTCGGTACTCTCCAACACTGTACTTTCGCGGCTTTGTTCAGCGATATTGTTATCATCGGGTCGTAAGAACTGTCTTAGCGAGTTGAGCTTGAATCTTCCAGCAGCAGACATTGTGAATGTGTCTCTGACGACCAAGTTTTGATGCGAACGGGAATCTCTGGTGGACGAGGAATCTCAACGCGGATGGATTGGTTCGCTCAAATGGCCTGGGTGTAAGGCCATGTCCCGACTATACAATCGAGCCTAGACCCACTGGCCAAGCAGGACGTCAAGAACAAAGAGTGTGGCAGCACTCAAGATGAATCCCGATGTCGGATCCGTCACGACATGCTAATTAATGACGAGTCCTTCGTTGAGGGCAATTTGCTCATCTGAGCTGGCTTGTACGCTCGCATAGACCCATGGCTCTGAATGGCCAAGAGCGAAAAGCTTTTTCTGTCTTGAGATTTTCACAGGCCTCAAGTGATCTCTTGCATCGGCTAATAGCGTGTGGTAAAGCCACGCGTGGGTACCCAGGCCATGGTGCAGACCGTAACTGAGAAAGCTCGATTGTCATAGCTGTAGCGGCAAAAGCCCAGAGTCCAGACTGTGGCACCGGTGGCATGTACAGCTGGGGTGCGAGAGCATTGGCGTGGGCTTCTGCCCTGACCCATGACTTGTGTCTTAGCAAGCGCCACGGCGCTCCGGACGCAGAGGAAACAGTGATCCAGAGCGAAGAAGTACCGGGCTTGTCATTCTGAGCCCATTGGTGCGGAAAAGCTGAGAGGGTGGAACGTGGAAGTTGGCAGGGGCTTTAGTCTGTCAGTGTGTGATTGATGATAAGATTCGATTATCAAATCTAATCACGTCTTCATATGTACATATGTATGTACATGGCTTTGCTTATCCGCAAGAGGAATGTCGCTTCGGCACTCTGGAAGTGAGCGGAGGGAAAGTCGCTACCATAAAATGGAGCGCCCAGGCAAACCGAGTCCGCGGTGGATTGCGCCAAGTCCTTGTTGAAAACGCGAAACAGGTGTTTTGGGATCCTTGTATTTCGTCGTGACAGTGACACCGCGAACGCTCTTGTGGTGTATGTTCGTCATTACATTGCCGCGATACGGCTTGGGAGGAGTCAGTCATCCATCTCCATAGCACCGAGAGCAGCGGGGACATACATGCTCTTGGGTGAGATTGAGGGGTGTCCTTTCATCCACACGCCATGCCGTCTTTGCGCCTGGTAGTGCGACGCTATTGGGCAGAGTTTAATCGAGCAGAGAGCTGTAGAGGGGCATAATTCAAGTCGTCTGATAGCGTTCCTACCAGCGAAGGAGTCCATTGTTGTACCCGAATCGAAACAGTCAGACAATCATGATCGGGAGCTCTGAAACTCGGCCATCTGATATGATTTGAGTGCTGCCAAGCAACACTTTACTGTACATAGCTGGGCAAGTGACTTACAGCATCAGTCAGCATTGTCTTGTTGTGGTCTTGTCGCCATGTCCACTGTCGACTTGAGAGAAATAACAAAGCCCGAGGTCGGAGGGAATGCTTTGGTCGCACCTGGCACAAGCCTCAAGTCCGTTGTCTTAGTGAAGAAGACGACCCAGAGCCCACCCAATGATGCCATGAGGGGCCGCATTGAATGCCCACGCGAGGAAGAACGAACGACGATGATCTTATTCGATGACAATTTTTCTTGATCACGAATACCGGGCATGGGTCTCGGGGTCGGGAGTTGGATGCTTGGAGGGCTCAAGACGGCTCCATTACAGTAAGCAAGCTCGGCGGATGGCTGCGCGGCGAGGGCGGGTTCCTACTGGTATGTAGCCTTCAGAATCACGCACCGATGAGACTTGGGAGGTGGAAGAAACCGCTAAAGTGGGAAAGTGGGAACGTTGCATATTGAGTTATCTGATGAAAATTCTCCCGGGGCAAGTGGAAATTGAGTTATCTGATCCGCTCGGAGAACTCCACTCTGCCGAGAACAGTGGAGCCGGGCCCGCTGGTACCACTAATACCAGGGCGTAATTTTGGTATTCGATTACCTTTCAAATGACACATGTATCAGGTCTGGGCGGCTTTCCGAATTCTCCTAGGGTCATGTCATGGTCCCATTCACGCGACCACGAATGCCATTGTCGGAAATCGGAGTCTCGGAGTCTCGGAGTCTCTTGTTAGAGGCACACTTTGGTTGCATCAACCCTGAACAGAAAGGGGAAGGATCCAGGCTCTCCCAGTTGTTGCCTGACCTGGCAAGGGTTCTGAGAGCATCGGTCCTTCTATGTCATCGATCGAGGTCCCATCAATGCTTCCACCCCTACGACAATTATGATACAGCATGCAGACACACTCATGGATGGCAACAGGGACACCGATATCCCAACTCTCGACTTGGTGTGTGTCGGTTTTGACATCACCGGCGTCGCAAACGCTGTCGCTTTGAAGGAAAGAAATGGGCTCAGCAAGGATACTATGTTCCTGGAATCCCAATTGGAAGCATTCTGGAAGCCACTCCGGAGCACACCGGCCTCCAGACTGAGGGCCTCATTTCTCAATGACTTGATCACCTCAGAGAATCCGCGCTCCCCCTTCACCTTCCTCAACTACCTCCATGCGACCAATAGGCTCATCTTATATGCCAACAGCGCTCAGATTCGCCCGTCGAGGGAAATGTTCAGCGATTATCTGAGATGGTGTGCTGGCCGCCTTCGGGCGCAAGTCCAGTACGGCAAGATGGTCACCAGTGTGCGACCGTTGAGAGACGGCAAGGGGAGCGTCGCTGCGTGGGAAGTGGTCTTCGTGGATGCCGTGACGGGAGAAAAGAAAGCTGCCACAGCCAAGCAGGTCGTCTATGCTGCATCGAATCATCTCTATGTCCCAAAAGTACTCCGCGCTCCTACTCTTCAAACTCTCGTCCTGCACTCTTCAGAGTATCTGGAAGCCATTCCATCACTACTACGCGACAATCCCAGAGCGCGCATCGCAGTCCTAGGAAATGGCCAAAACGCAGCAGAGGCATTTGATCAGCTTCATGGAATACGGGGAGAGCACGATGTCATTTGGTTTACCAAAGACGCTGTCCTTCGAGGAGATGACGAGACACCATTGTAAGTCGGCTTCTTGGGTGTCCACCGTTGGTGTCGCTTTCTAATGCTATAGCGAAATCTAGCCTATTGGAAAGTATCATGCAACCCACTTCATCCACACAACTGAACATGCCACCCGAGATCAGGAGAAGGGAAGTCAATGGAGCCTCGACCTTGACCTCTAGTTCGTCAATTGAACCGCGCCTCCTGAGACAGATATATGATGCCCAGTACGATTTCAGTGTCAAAGAGCCCGACTCCCAGAAGTGGAGATTCCAAATCAGATTCCAACATGAAGCGGTACATGCGGAGAGAACTGCTGACGGGCGCGTGCGACTTTTCGTGCAAACTCCTGAAAATCCAAGCGAGCCAGCAACGTTCGATGCCGTCATTTCCGCGACCGGCTTTGGGCAACACGTTCATTATCGTGCCCTCGAGCCTTTACAGGCGCTGCTCGATGGCCCTAGTGTCACAGTCGATCGCGATTACCACATCAACTTCAGAAAGGGCGTCCTCGCGCCAGGGTGCGGGATTTGGTTTCAAGGATCGCTTGCCAATGATGGAGACCAAGTAAGTGACGATTTTCATCCGGTCGGTGTTATCACTACTAATTGATGGAGGTGCAGAATGACGACAACCTCCTCCAGATTCTCGCAGAGAGAGGTAGACGTCTGGCAGAGTCTGTGCTGCGTCGGAGGACCGAGCAGACCGCTTCGGAGGAGGAGAGGCCGGCAAGGCTGTAAACGTTGGCCGCGTTCGGAATCGCGCGACATCGATCGAGATTTGGAACGGGGACACATAGAGAGAGAGAGGAAAAAAGCTAGCTCGTTTGGCCTGTACATAGAGTATGCATTGTGTTTTCGGGGGAATGTTCTCATTGCAGACGTCTGGTCACTACAATTTCGGTCTCCCTTGAGTCACCAACTGTCCCGCCAGCTGCGCGAGCTCGAACTTTCTCACTTTTCCACTCCCTGTCAACGGCACGGTGGCCGGAATGTCATCTTCTCCCAGCCAGAAAATATGCGCCGGCGCCTTGTGTCGGCCAAGCTTCAGTCTCACCCACTCACGGATGTTTTCGTCGCTGGGACGACGAGCAGTCGGAGTCGTATATTCTCCTCCAACACTACCTCCTCGTGGGGTTGTTGCAGGAGTCGAGCTGCTGCGTTGCAGAAATGCAGCTACGATTTCGCCGTATCTGGCGTGCTTGACGCCGACGACGATGGCGCGGTCAATCGCCTCGTGCTGGACCAGACGACTTTCAATCTCCAAGGGATAGATATTTTCTCCACCTGGCAAGGAATAAATGGTCAGTGAGTGCTCCTACGTGTATATATATGCACGGCTTTCTCGAGAGATGATGCATGTATGCGCGGAGGAAGCGTGCTTACCTCTGATAATGATATCCTTAAACCGACCCGTAATACTGCACGTCTTGTCCCTGTGAAAGACAGCTTCGTCGCCGGTATGCAGCCACAGCACGCCATCTCCGTCACGGATCATGACCTCGTTTGTCTTGTCCGCGTTTCTCCAGTAGCCTCGCTGTAGTTGGTACCCGGCGATGCAGAGTTCTCCGCGCTCACCGACTGGGACGATTCCTCCGTGTCGGTCCACGATCTTTGCATGGGCGTGCGGCATGACTTGGCCCACGGTGGTGAGCTTCAAATCTGTGGGGTCGTTGTGGAACGCGTTGAAACACGTTGGTGAAGCTTCTGTTAAGCCTGATGATACCGGACGGTTAGTTTTTCAATGGCCCTCCCTTGGCTGAGTTACATGTATGCCATACCATAACTACTGGTGAACTCGGTCATCCCGAGTTCGTTTACCATAAGTTCCATCAAGTGGCGAGGTACGGGAGCCCCTGCTATGATCCCGGTTCGCAAGGCTGAGCAATCGAAGTCCTCGGGGCGCGGGAGGCTGAAAATGGAATCGAACATTGCTGGGACACCGTGAAGGGCAGTACATCGTTCCTCCGAGATGGCTCTCAGGCACGCAACGGCGTCAAAGGTCTCGGCGGGATAGACCACTTTTCCGCCATGAGTTATAATGGCTAGCAGGCCAAGGACCAGGCCAAAGCAATGGAAGAGCGGCGGTGGACAGCACAGCACGTCCTGATCCGTCAAGGCCATGCGGTCGCCAATGAAGCGGCTGTTGTTGACCAAGGAGCTGGAAATATGAGTTAGATCTCTGGTCAATCTAGGGTTTCCTCGACAGGAGGAGCTAGGAGCCAGCCGGCTACTTACTGATGTGTCAGCATTGCAGCTTTCGGGTTTCCTGTCGTTCCACTCGTGAACTGGAGATTACAAACGGCATGGCAGCTGAATCCCTTCGAGGCTGCTTCGAGAATCTCATCGGATCCGACTGCTCCTGTTTCTAGGAGTGTTGCGTAGGGAGTGAAGTGACTGGGTGGACCTTGTAGAATGATAATCTCCTCGACCGTACCAGGCTTCTCTCTCAATTGGCGAAGAAGTTGCCCGTTGTCGTGATGACCGATTCGAGGAGTCGCAAACAGTATTCTGCATTCTGTGATTTCAAATAAGGAGCGGCTCCAATGGCAAGGTGTGAAGGAAAACGTACCTGTGAATTTCAGTGCATACATTGCTTCAGATGCAGTGTAGGTGTTGTTCAAAATGACCAGGATACATCCCAGCTTCATACAGGCGAAGAAGACCGAGACATATTGCTCACAGTTTCCGGCCATGATACCGATTCGATCCCCTGGGCGTAGCCCTCGAGCAACAAGGGCTTTCGCCAGTCGAATGCTTTCCTCCCTAAGACGGCCGTATGTCCATCTGGCGCCTGTCCACGGCACCACCAAGCATTCTTTACTCCCATACCTCTTGCACTGGAAATCCAGCAGCTCGCCGAGAGTAAAATCTAACAATGGCACCTCCGAATTGCCATGAAGAAGGGACAGAACCGTGGGAGATGGAAATAACGTGGTCTCGGTGGCACTTTCTAGAGACATCGCAACGAATGGCTAAAGGTTTCTCAGTAGTTCTAATGTTCAGCCTCCTCCTGCCCTATAGTCCAATCTTCAGTCGTCAATGTTATGTTGACATTGTGTAGAGCATCACCCCACTCCCGTGGTCTATCAGGCTGTCATTTTCGCACCTTCTGGAGACTGATTCTACAGAACCTCCGATCTCGGTTCGCGTCGCCGGACAAGAAAAGATGCACCTGTGCTGAAGAATTTACTTCAAGGCGTAGTTCACCCTCGGCTTTCAACTGGATGCCCGGGATAAACCTGGAATAAGCAGAGCAGATTCTGCCGAGAGAGAATTTCGGTTCCACATGTTGCCATGCGAGAATAGGTTAATCAAATCACCTCATTCGAGACATGTGGATTGAACCGAGTAAACACTCGCTGGCATCTTCCGCAAAGGTGGCAAAGTTATCCACTGCAACAGTTTCAATCAACAATCAGATCAGATAAGATGGATTGGATTGACAAGGGAGTTTGTGTTGTGCACACCAGTCATAGCTGGCATTACATGGGTGCGTCTGTGGTCTTGCAGTCCTCGTTACTTTTCCAGTGCGCCATTTTTTGACGGTGTCCACTTGTTGGGCAAAACCGAAGCCGTCTGTCTTGACTGCGCATTCGAGTTCCTAGCGTTACCGTTCACAATCCTCTAATGATGAAATGGAGGTGTGCACCAATGGTAACAGGATGATGAGGAAAGCTGTGACATTGGAACAAGAAGGGGAAGCGTGCGCTGGGATAACGGTGACCGCAGCCTTGACGAGCTCCACTCGATGCGCTACGCCAAGATTGGAAAGGATTCTGGATACAAGGGCGGTATTTCAGACATTTCAAAACGTCGACATTACAATACTTGTCTGACATGGCATGAAATATTCCCCGTACTGATATTCCGGCCCCGGTGAGTTTCTCCTCTCAAGGAATTTGCCTTCAAGAGTGTAGCAAGAGTGGAGATATAAGCGTGTTCCTGCTATGTACATGATTGATCTTGTCCCCACCTAACAGGTTGAAACTTTGCACAGCAGCTCGCGCTGTGATTAGATCCTTCTGTCTTAGGACCTGCAGCGCCAATCTTCTCTCACAACTTCGAATCTGTCCAGTTTGGCGACCGTTTGTCCACAAATGCCTGAATCCCCTCCGAGAAATTAGGTCCAGCCATCAGGCGAGGGTACCATCGATCAGCAAGAATCGACACGGCCTCCTCCACGCTACCGGCTTCCCAGCTCTGCCGAATACCTAGCCGGCCAACAATCAACGCATCCGGACTGTTCTTGCACATGTCCTGGGCGACTCGAATTGCCACGGGGACAACTTCAGCGACAGATTCCACCACCCGACTAACTAGGCCCAAGTCATGAAGCTCCTTGGCCCTCACGTTTCTGCCAGTGAGGACGAGATCGGTAGTACGTTGCAGTCCCAGTGTACGTGTCAGCCGTGGTAGACAGCCTGCCACAGGGACGATCCCTCGCTTCACTTCCGGTAGGGAGAAAAGTGCCGAGGAGCAAGCTACGACGAGGTCGCAGTTGGCCACCATCTCAAAGCCGCCTCCCATGCATATACCATTCACCGCAGCAATGATCGGCTTTTTACCAGCTCGACGGGGCAGCCCAGCGAGACCGGGAGCAGACATGTCGTTGACCACGCCAGTTTTGTTCATCTCGTTCCATTCTGTCCAAGGACATACTCTGGTCAGTTGTCGTCTCAAGTAAAGACCTTGATATAGAGCAGTCCTGGCGCCTGAGCATACCTTGTAAATCTGCTCCAGTACAGAAAGCTCTCCCAACGCCTGTGATTATTCCGACCCATAGACTTTCATCTTGGTCGAAAAGCTCCCATATCTGTTGAATTTGGCGGCTTGTAGCTTTGTTGACGCTGTTCAGTTTCTCGGGTCTGTTCAAAGTGACTTGAACAATTTTGTCATGCGGGAAAGAGACGTAAAAATGTTGAAACTGCAGGGGTCTTGATCTGAGAGACATTTGTGTTCCAGGACTGCGTCTGGGTTGGCAGCTTTCTCTGCAAGCAGAATGCACAGGATGTATTGTTGATGAGCTTCACCTGTTTCCTTCTTTTGGAAGAAGTTTGTGTCTTTTGACCTCATGTATATATCAACTTCACATGTACTCAAATTTTGAGATGTGAATGTAGCCACCGAAACACTTTCCGCCAAGGTATCCGGTCCTCGGTCTGAGGAGAGCATTCTGCAGATCACAAACTGCTCGCCAAATTCGGTTAGGTCGCCATTCCTCGAGGCACGCCCCACAGTTAAACAAAAGCCCACGAATGGAGGACCAGGTTGGAGGCAGTGGGGAAGGGCCTCACTGGCTGCCCTTTTTGTCCCTTCCTCGGAGTCTTCGTCCCACCCTGCCATCTCAATCCCTCCTTCTCCCAAGAGAATCTTCTCTCCAGACCGTAACACGAGAGACAATTTGTCGGGGCAGGACTTTTGTATCGTTGCGACATTTATCTCAGTGGAACTCGGACGTTCAAACTCTTTGAGAATGGCCCTTAGCCCAACATCTTCACACAAGTGGCCTCTAGTCAAGCTACCACACCCGTTTCTGACCACATATCGAGTGTGCCCTGTTGGGGAAACAAAGCCAGCTAGGCTCATCTTAACACAAGAAAACCAGCCCACGGAAGGACGACCATTGCCAAAACCATTACATAGCGACTCGCTCTCGTGGCTCGAACTGTCGTTCAAATCGGAGGACCATGTTCCGCCCATCTCCAACAACAGCGCTTGGGCACGAGCAGTTCGGAGTCCTCACACAACATTCGAGTGGACGGGAAGCAGTCCGCCTTCCCTTGGTCAGATTTGGAATGTTGTTCACGCGATATATCTCGCCCATCCCACCTATGAGTACTTCCGACTTAGCCTGTCTGGCGCAGGAGAAGATGTCATTCGCCACGAGCTACTTTCTACAGGCTTAGGCATCGAACATCCCAAGCCATGGCGCCCCAAGGACGATATGAATGCACAGTCTGACGAGCTGTTGATCCTTCGAAGCTCGTTCTGGCAAGGAGCAGCTTCTCCAATGGGACCTCGACCAATCTGGGTAGTGGGAGACAGCACGGATGGTCCTTCACGCGAGTCTCTGGCCCAGTATCCCATTATGCCTGAGAACTATCACTTCACCATGAAGTTCCCCGAGGAGCCCATCTACACGCGTCATCCGATCCGTCGCCCAAAGCCACATCCAGGATCAATCGCCTACAGTCGCTACATACCAGAGCTAGACGAGCACTTTTCTCTCGAAGTGGTCAACTGGCAAGATCCGGAGCACCTGAGACTCTTCAACACATGGCAGAACGACCCGCGTGTTGCAGCAGGGTGGAACGAGACAGGGACTTTGGAGCAGCATCGTGAATACCTGCGCAAGCTGTGGGTTGACCCGCATGTTCTTTGCTTATTCGGATGCTTCAACAACACCCGCTTCGCGTATTTCGAGCTGTACTGGGCAAAGGCAAGTCATCTGATCTCTCAATTCCCCCCCCCCCCTCTCTCTCTCCACCCTTTAATTTCATCATTCAGGTTTGACGTGTTCTCTCTCCATCAACAGGAAGATCACTATGGCGCCCATTATGACGCCGGCGACTACGACCGTGGCCGCCACTCACTCGTGGGCGACGCATCGTTCCGCGGCTCCCATCGCGTCAACGCGTGGTATTCCAGCTGCATCCACTACGTCTTTCTGGACGACCCGCGCACCGCCAACGCCGTGGGCGAGCCCAAGGCCACGGGTGCGGCGATTCTGTCCTACGAGAACTCGCAAGGTCTCGTCATTGGCAAGTACGTCGACCTGGGCCACAAGCGCTCCGTGCATTCGATCGCGAGCCGGGAAAAATGGTTTCAGTTGTGTCCGCTCTTCTGGGACGGGCGGGAGAAGCCGCTGGAATCTGCAGACCGAGCAGCATGGAACGCTAAGCTGTAGGCTTTGTGGGAACAGAACCCCCTAAAATTGCGAATAGTCGTTGACGATTGTCGAAAAGGATCATTTTTGTTTGCTAGTCCCTGCGATCCTGACAATGTGACATATTCTGGCGTCTTCCACACGTCAGCGCCGAAGGACATAGTTGAGATCTGTTGGAAGAGAAAATCGAGAAACGCAATGCACATGAAAATCCAAAAAAAAGTCATCCTGTCAATTTCTTTGACCTACGTCCATCCCTAATCTTCTGCTACTCAGCCAACGTCTGATGCATAACGTTCAATCTATAACTCTCCGACCTCTGAAGCAAGTCCTCATGCGTTCCGCGATCGACGCATTGGCCTCCTTCAATCAAGAAGATAACATTCGCCTTCCTTATCGTGTGCAGTCGGTGTGCAATAGCAATCACGGTGATGCCTCGCGCGGCCTTCTCAAGCCCGTCTTGCAAAAGCTTCTCCGACTCTGCATCCAAAGCACTGGTCGGCTCGTCCAGGATCAGCAACTTGGGCTTTCGCACCAGTGCCCGAGCGATCGACAGCCTTTGCTTCTGCCCTCCGGAGAACTGGTTGCCATTTGGTCCACAGAGCGTTTGGTAGCCGTTGGGCAAGGATTGGATAGTGTCGTGAATGTTGGCGAGCTTGCATGCCTCCTGAATCTCGTCCATGGTGGCTTCATGGCCCGGTCGAGCACCAAGGCCGATGTTGAATTCAATGGTTCCCTCGAAGAGGACGCTTTCTTGTGGTACCAGCGCCATGGTGTCGCGGAAGCTGACGTCGCGAGTCTTTGTCAAGTCAACCCCGTCGACTATGATGGATCCGGATTGAGGGGTGTACAGTCGTTCGACGAGCGAAACGATTGTCGATTTGCCAGCGCCACTAGGGCCGACAAGGGCACAGAGTGTACCTGGTCGAATTTCAACGTTCAAACCCTTCAACACGTCGACCTCCGGCCGACTTGGGTATGCGAAGTGGACATCGCGGAGCTGGACGCTAGAACCCTGGTTGCTCGGCGGAAAAGTCGGTTTTGCTTCAGCTGTAGCCTCCACGTCTTTATCCTCAAAACATGTATCGAGAGATGAAGTCCTCTTCACGCGTCCTTGCATCTTATCCGGTCCCATTTCAATGAGACCCAAAAGCCTTGCCACCGCAGCCCGCGCGCTGGTGAGCTCTGGGGCGAGCGCGAACATCTGACTCCACAGCAGTGCACTGACCAGAAGGGAGAATACCACAATCATGAACTGCGTCTGAGTGTAATTGCCCGCTATAATCTGTTTGGCGCCCCACCAATAAGCCAATGCATTCACGAGGTTCCCGAGCAGATAGGTCATTGCCAGCCAGAGACTTGCGTATAGGCTCACTTTGAGCGTCTCCTTGCGAGGGCCTTTCAGTGATCGTCGGTAAGTCTTCAGTGTCTCTTCTTCAAGGGAAAGGGACGCAATCGTCTTGATGGATGTGATTGCCTCCACGCCGATGTCCACCGATTTAGTATATGCATTTTCGTGCCGTTCTTCAAATCTCGTGAGCACTCGAAGCTCCATAAGACCAGCTCCAAGGAGAAGCGGTACCAGAGATAGGCAGACCAATGCTATTTTCCAAGCAATTATATGAGTCAAAACAATTGCGACAATGAGGTTGACGGTGATTGAGAACAATGTGCCGATGACGGAGCCACTTAAGCCACTGAGCGCATTGCCATCTCTTGTAATGTAAGAGAGCAACAAGGCGGGGGTCCGGCCTTCAGACTGATGCCACTGAAGATCTTGCCCAAACAATGATCGAAAGGATAAGACTCTCACAGTGTAGACCGTTTTCTCAGCGACCCAGCCGAACCCCGACCAACTGGTCACGTTCGCAAAGAACTCGATGATTGCGAGTATGACGAACATAAGACCGAGAAAACTGCCCCGAGAACGAATGTAGGATTCACTCTGGCACGGACTCAAGCTGCCGACAGTGTTTCCAAAGATCACGGCCTCCGCAGAGAAGGATCCACCAACAACGCTCGAGGCGAGAAGAGAGACAATGATGATTAGCAGGTGCGGTCTCAAGACTGGTGTAAATCCTCGCACCAAAGACCACAGCGACTTTGATGGAGTCTCGGGCTCTTCCTGCTCTTCCGCAGATTCATTTACCTCAGCCTGACTTGTCGAGATTTCAGTCTTCTCAATGGTTCCAATACCGTCAATTGACAACATATCCTCCTCGGTAGCGCCCTTTGTTGAAGAAGCACGTTTTGATTGGCTCGTACTGTCTGGTGTCTCGTTCTTCCTGGACGTGGATCCGAGAGTCTGCAATCTCACCAGATCGGCGTATGCGCCGTTCTTTGCCATCAGTATTGAATGCGTTCCCTCTTCAAGGATGCGCCCCTTCTGCATGACTATAATATTGTCGGCACCAGTGATAGTCGAAAGTCGGTGAGCAATCGTAATCATAGTTCTGCCACTGGCAATACCGGATATGGCCCCCTGGATGCGCTGCTCGCTTCTCGAGTCCAGAGAGGCCGTGGCCTCATCCAAGATGAGAACCCTGGGATCTTTAACAAGGGCCCTAGCAAGAGCAACCCGTTGCTTCTGGCCACCACTGATTAGCCGTCCACTCGATCCCACCACGGTACCATAACCATGTTGCAACGCAATGATGAAAGCTTCTGCGTCAGCGAGCTCTGCGGCCTTTCGGACCAAGGAAGTAATCTCGACGGCATTTGAACCCAGCTTCTCTGCTGCTGCCGTCAGGTCCTGGCCCTCCCTGACTTGGCGGGCGAGATCTGCAAGGTCTGGGCCAAGAAGCGTTGTCTTCAAATGCGCATGACTGGGATGGCTCGAATTGATCAAGCCATGAGCGATGTTCTCCAATATGGAACGGTCAAGGAGCGAGGGGTCTTGCTGCACGAGGCTGAGGAAGCGTCTGAGGTGGCGAAGATTCAGATCCCGAAGATTATGACCGTCGAACAAGACTTGGCCCTGATTAGGATCATACAATCTTGTAAGCAGTCCCGCAATGGTGGATTTGCCACTTCCAGAAAACCCAACTATAGCAGTGTGTTTCCTAGGAGGAATTCGAAGATTGACCTGGTCCAGAACCGTGACTTCAGGTCTAGATGGATAAGTGAACGAGACATCCTTGAACTCAAAGCCGCCTTCCGCTCGCGAGAGGCGAAGCCCGGAAGCAGCTGTGCCATCGATCAACGGCTCGCGATCCATATCCTGACGCAGTTTTTGAAATGATGCGACAGCCGCCCCAAAAAGGTGCAGAAAAGGCGCTACTTGACTCAAAACCAATGTAGCTGTCAATGTGTTAGTGAAGTCTTAGGGTGGAGCTCGATTCCAACTGACCTTCAATCAAGATGAAGACTACTGTAAACGTAACACCCACGGAGGCGGTCTTAGCATCATGTCGGACTGCATCCGCAATCCGTTGACTTGCTTGCCAGAATGCTAGACCGTTCGCAGAATAGGCGATGAAATATAGGACCCCGGATTGTACACCCACCGCCAACGCCTTCTTTAAGCCTTCATGTTCTGAAGCCTTGAGCGCCTTGGCGAATTTATTCTCCAGCCGGGTGTTTGCGCGGAATGCGTGCACGACAACAACATTGGAAAGTGCTTCCGAAGCAATTGAAGCGGCGGTAGCAGCATAATCCGACATCAGTCCAGAGTACTTCTCGATGTAATGGCTTCCCACAAATGACATCAAGAAATAGGCCGGTATCAACGAGACTAGCATCGCCGCGAGCTTGTAGTCCTTGATGAAAGCCACGATATATGCCGTGATGAAAAAGGATAGACTTGAGAGACATATCCCGACTTTCTCAGAGGTACCTGACCGGATTGCCTGGATGTCGCCATTCAGTCGAGAGGCGACTTCTCCGGGAGGCAGATTGTCGAAATACGTCGGCTCTTGTCGGAGCAGATTATGTAAGTAACTCTCTCGTAGTCTTTGTGCGAGTCGAGCGCCGTTCAAACTCCAGCACGAGAGATGCATATAGATGGTGACAAACTGAGCGATGGCCAAGTACAAGATCAGCAGGATTTTGTCGTTGACACTGTCTTGGTGCTGGGACCGAGCACTGGAAGTGTCGGGCGAGTCGCAAGTTGCCGAATTAAAGTCGTCAATGAGCTGACCAAAAAGGATTCCAATCAATGGGAATGGGATGCCAGATGCTATCGCAGATAGTATAGCCAACAATAACACGCCCGCATCGATTGTGGAAGGGCTACCAGCCAAAAGCAGGCGAGGGTAGCCCACGAGTTTCTGGAAGGGGTTCATGCTAACCGAGAGCTGGCGAGGCTGCTTGCAGCCTTGTGAGTGTCGTTTCCGTGTGCTTAACCTGTAAAGACTGCCCTTCTGGCCAAGGTATCCCTCGAGAACTACTTAGCTCGTCGTTCCCATTGTGCCTGACGTTAGCAGTTTGCGTTGCCGTAGGAATTGCTCCAGCATCTGAATGAAATTTTCTACCAACTCCGATGCCGCACCGAGAGGACTGCATCTGGGGGGTTCACGGCTGGCGACATGGCCATCGAGGTGGGTCTGAGCAACAGGGCATACGGAAGGCGAGTTTGGGAAATCGATTAACATGCAAAGGGCAAGCGTAACGGGACGTAAAATGACCAGGTTTGTAAAGTCAAAATACAGTAAACGCCAAGAGGGTTAGAAAATGCAGTGGGATGAAAGCTCTTCAAATACCTATCGGTACCTTTATCAAAACAGCTCACTGGTGCAGGGAAATCCACGAGCATCTTCTCCGCGAAGTCGAGATCGTCAAACGCAGAATGCAATGTCCACTTGCGACTCCTTGCCCCAGGAGATCTCGACCGAAGAGAAGCCACCCTCTTCGAGTCGTCGTCCGAGGATCAGGCGAATGCGAGGGTGTTGGTTGTTTCTCCAACCAGAAACGGTGTTCTTGGAGCGTGCCGTCCTAGTTCGAGCTCTCGACAACATGGGGGTCTTTCGGCTCATTGTTGGAGCTTGAGATGTTTCTTCAGAGTGAAGGGCCATGAGAGACAAGCCCCCATGTACCTACAGCGTCATAGTTGCCCACCCGGTTGGGCGATCCAGTCAATCCCATTGGATTCTCACTGCAGCCATTTCAGGTCTAGGGTTGCTGGCGCGACGATATTGCTGAGCGGCCAGCTACATAGATCCTTGTTGACGGGTCTGGGGCCTCTCAACGCACCATCACTTCTCTTCATGCTCCGACATCGCTGATATCTTGTCACGAGCAATCCATCTTCTTTTATTTCCCTGGAAACCCTGCAGGCAGAGGAGCTACGAACTCCTCAGTGGATCGTCCGGTTGACGCTCGTTGCGAAGAGCAGAAGCAAAGCAGAGCAGGTTGATGTGGGAGGGTTGCCGGGGATGGTGGTATGGGGTTCCTCGGCGGGGCAAGCTGTGCGCGTAGAGTCATGAGAAGAGCCGTGAGTAGAGGAGTGAGTAGAGGAGTGAGTAGAGGAGTGAGTAGAGTGGTGCTACGGGCGTGTCCACTCAGGCTCAGATGTTGTCGAGCCGCTGATGGTGCAAGTGCCATGGCCATGTTTTCCCGAAGGTGACGAGGTGGCCGAATCAGAGAGACGAATGGTGAAAATTTTCATCAGATTAGATTATCTCTCGTCTTGGCATGGGCCCACCCTAGATGCTTGGCATTGAGCTATGTACCCAGTATCTCAAACGACACCAACGACATTCCCGGTCTTGACCTCATTGCCCACACGTTGTCCACATCGCCCACACCTCTTTCCTTGGTCTCATGTACTTGATATATTGTACATGACGAGACGGAACGGATACCGTGTTGCAATACCGGTGTCTTGATACGAGCTGTATTTCAATACGAAACCCGCATCATATGTAACAAGACCCGTCATGGAAATGACAGAAAATTCTCCAATCCTCGCATGGATGATGTTCTCCTCTCCCAATACCTTCTTGCCTTCGACAAAATGTGGGCATCAGGCCAAGTCCACAGACATGAGAAATGCCATATCCTGGTCGGCTATGCAAGGCCCCTAGGTGGAGCCACGCCTACACCTTCCCACCAAAATGGTAACCAAACTCTTTGCTGTGGGATGATTCAGTGACTCGTCTGAATCTCAATTGAATGGAGTACAGCTTCAAACCCAACTCATCTTCCCGGTATTGAGCTCTGCAAGCAATCGAGAAAGCCAAATTGCCAGTAGAATGGGCTCTATACAAGTCGACGAGAGGGGTGATCGAAGGCAGGCAAATGGCCATTCTGCTGACATCGTGTCTACCGGAGAGGCGGACGCTGAGGGCTTCTGGTCTTTCAAGGTCACTGGTCTTGCATCCGATCAACCAAACACTCCAACGGGTCTAAGAGAGGAAATCTTGCTCCTCGCATGGCTCCTCGTTCTCCTACGAACCCAAGACGCTGGCCAAGTCTGGTTTGATTGGGCTTACGAAGGTCGAGGAAATGGTGCCCTTCACGAGCCTGTTAAAAGGCGCTTGGTGACGGATGAATTAATGACAGGGTTACAAGACAATATCGGGCAAGTTGGTGCTAGAATTGCTCGCCACATCACCGCATGTACCCAAACTCAGCTACCTGGAGGCTCCGGCCCTGTTTCGCTTCTGTTGAGCACCAGTTCCCTATCTCGGAGGCCTGAAGAAGCGAATGATCAAGTGAGTAAATGATGAGCTCGAAGATCCCGTCACTGACCTCTCGAGCAAAGTGTACGCTGCACCTCCAAATACAATTTGACGATAGCCGTCTCAACATTCGTCCAGTATGGCAGACAGTAAACATGTTGCAATATGCGATGACACGACACGTTATAGCACTGGTCGATATCGTCAAAATGTGCATTTTGAATCCGGACGCCCCCATTGAAAATTGTATGCGGCCGACAGCAGCTGATCTGAATGAGATATGGAAGTGGAATTACCCGCTGCCACCTTCCTACGACTTTTGCATGCACGATGTGATTGCCCAGCAAGCCCAGAGGTTCAAAGACAAGTTAGCAGTCTTATCCTGGGATGGCGGCCTGACGTATGCCGAAGTTGACCGATATTCTACATCCATAGCCTACTCGCTGAAAGGGATGGGTGTCGAGTGGCATGATGTCCTGCCCGTGTGCTTTGAGAAGTCAAGATGGACCATCATTGCCGTGCTTGCGGTGATGAAAGCAGGCGCCACTTTCGTGCTGATGGACCCAACCCTTCCGCTGGCTCGCCTGCAAACCATGGCGAAACAGGTTGGAGCAAAGACGATGCTTACATCCCGGAAACAACGTGACTATTCGGCCGCAATCTTGCCCGATGGGAATCTCATGGTTGTGGAAGAGGACTCATTCAAGCACGTCTCATGCTCGCAAGTCACGTCCAACTTGACAGTCGTTCCCCCATCTGCTCTGATGTACATAATTTTCACTTCTGGAAGCACGGGCGTCCCGAAAGGAGTCCTGATTTCTCACGAAACCTATACAAGCAGTGCCATTCCTCGGGCGGAGGCAGTCGGCTATACGGAGCACTCCAGGGTTCTTGATTTTGCGTCGTATGCTTTTGATGTCAGCATCGACAGCATGCTTTGCACTCTTTCGAAGGGCGGATGTCTCTGCATTCCCTCTGACGAAGATCGGATGAACGACTTGAATGGAACAATGCGCCGAATGCAAGTCAACTATGCCGGCCTGACCCCTTCGGTGGCCCGCATATTGGACCCGGATGTTGTGGCATCGCTCAGCGCCCTTGGTCTCGGAGGGGAGGCAGCCACGGCAAGAGAAGTGACGCGCTGGGGCCAAGTCACTAGAATCGTCATAGGCTACGGCCCATCCGAATGCACGATCGGATGTACAGTCAACAGCAGCGCCGCCACCGGCAGGGACTATGTATCCCTTGGGAGAGGCAACGGGGCAGCCATATGGATCGTCAACCCCACTGATCACGAATTGCTCATGCCGGTCGGTGCTGTGGGCGAACTGCTTGTCGAGGGTCCTATTGTGGGACAAGGCTACTTAAACGATCCCGACAAAACTGCGGCGGCTTTTATCAGGGACCCATTGTGGCTCACCGCAGGCCTGAATGGCTATGACGGTCGGCAGGGCCGCTTATACAAGACTGGAGATCTTGGGAAATATGATCCTGATGGCTCTGGAGGCATTGTCTTCCTTGGGCGAAAGGACACGCAGGTCAAATTGCGTGGACAACGCGTCGAGCTTGGAGAAATCGAGTACCAGCTCAAAGGTAGACTCCCTCCAGCCACCAACGTGATTGCAGAGGTGATCGTGCCTTCAGGTTCTGGAGATCAACCTACGTTAATGGCGTTTATTGCATTTCAGTCTATGAAAGGACAAGAGTCTACCGATCTACAGTGGGCAAATCCCCCTAAGGATCTACAGGAAATGCTGTCAGCGGCTGATGCGGAGTTGGCCAAGGTCCTGCCACGATACATGGTGCCAACCGCATATGTACCGGTCAACTACATTCCTGCGATGATATCAGGCAAGACCGATCGCAAAAGACTAAGGCAGTTCGGTGCCACATTCGACCTGCGACAGTTAGATCAAGGCACAACTAATACCGCTACTCGACAGCTGAGCGATCTTGAGCAACTTGTACAGCTGGCCTGGAGCCAGACATTGCGGCTTAATCCAGAAACCATTCGGCCTGACGACAATTTCTTTGCGCTAGGCGGCGACTCGTTAATGGCAATGAAACTTGTCTCTGTTTGTAGAGCTCAAGGTCTCGATGTCACCGTGGCGAACATTTTTCGCTGCCCTACGCTCTTAGCGATGGCCGACGTTGTCCAAACTTGCAGCTCTCAAACACGGATAGAAACGCCAGCCTTTTCGATGATCTCCCAAGATGCTGAGAGTGCCTGTCTCGAGGCGTCGCAATGGTGTGGTACAGATCCGGCCGCCATCGAAGATATCTACCCCTGCACACCATCACAAGAATCGCTTTTCACCTTCTCCATCAAATCAACACGGGCGTACATTGCTCAGAGAGTCACTTGTATTCCGTCACAAATCAGCCTTGATGCCTGGAAAAGGGCTTGGGAGGAGGTTGTCGCGGCTAGTCCTATGCTGCGCACTCGCTTAGTGCAACTCCAAGACCCGGGTTTGCAGCAAGTTGTGTTGAGAGAAAGCATATCCTGGAGATATTCGACTGATTTAGCGCAATACCTTGGTGATGACCAGAGCGAGAAGATGGAACTTGGTCAAAGTCTCGCTCGATATGCCATCGTCGACAACACAAAGGATGACAGACGATACATGGTCTGGACCATTCATCACGTCCTCTACGATGGGTGG